GGGTCAGCCCCGGCCGAGGCCCCGGCCTGCACGGCACATGCTGGCGCTGGCGCTCGGCTGGCCTACTCGGTGTGCCATGTGCCTAACACACTGTATGGTGAGGGAGCGTTCCGCCAGTTGTCTCGCGACATTTTTCTGACGATTTTGCGGCCCAACATGAGGAAACACCGTTTCTGCTGGAATAAGCGTGGAGTGAAGCGCTACGGCGCTGGACCAGCCGGCTCGCCCTGGGCCTCGACAGCGGCCTAGACGGTGGGGAGGAGGAGCAAACACTTTGGTTCATGGGGCATCTTTGTTCAGGCCGGGCCGGGAGAGAGCCGGTCCGGCGCACCAGCCCTTCCTCCCTTCTCTCCCTCACGCCGACCATCCTTTCCGTCTCCCCCTCCCCCTTCCCCGCGGTGCTTCGGGAAGATCCCCAGGGAGAGGCGCCGCCGGCCAGGAGGCGCCAGGCAAGAAAACGACCAGCGAAATCGAAAATTAAAATTTCACTCCACCATCTGCGTGTTCAGTCAGTACAAATAATGGAGTCACCGAGGGGTGCCCAACTGTGGTAATCAGGTGTACACAGACTTGGTAATCACTGGTAATCCCTGGTAATCCTCACACTCGTGAGGGTCCTTGAAAATGACAAATTTGTTAATTTAGGCATGAATTTTTGTGCACATCTTGCCTAATGCCAACGCGCATGTTCAATATGGCAACTTTGCATCCCTCCCATGGACAAAATCATGATTTGGCCAATCATAGAATGCAAATTTGTAACTTGCATGATAAAGAATCAAGAACTACCAAACAGTTGCACAAAAATGCATCTTTCTCTGGACAAAAAATGGCCGCTTCGATTTAGAATGCAGGTGGATCATATCTAGTATTCATAGGTAATCTTTGGTAATCTTTGGTAATCATAGGTAGTCCTTACAATTTGGTAATCCGGTGTACACATTTTTATGGAGTTGGGCACCCCTCGGGAGTCACGACGGACAACCGGGAAATAAACACTCCAACTTCGCTACGTGGCGACGCCTTTCTTGTCCAGCGGCGGCGGGGGCGTGACATCGCGTCTATCGCGCTGCACGCACGCGTGCGTAGCCGCTTCCTCGTGTACCAGCACCTCCGCCAAGGACGCCCGCGCCGAGCTCGCCTAGTCTCTCCCTCCACTCTCCCGCTCCCACCCCTTATTGTTCTCTGCCCAGTTTCCTCCAGCGTACCCGGCTGCCTGGAGGCACAACAAGGGTTACTTTCATGACTTAATGTACAAAAACAAGAAATTAAACTGTAGGAGACGTTTCGATTGAATAGCAACTGACTTTAAGTGCTGTTTTCGGTCGTGATTCATCGTTGACTCGTGAAGTATACTGGGAAGCACCTACCTCCCGCCCATTTTGCCCGTCTTCCGCCTTGCACCGCTACTGGAGCGATATTTGTGAAGAAATTTAGAAAAGGAGAAATGTTTCTCTTTCTTTCTTCGCAAACCAAGCCCTCCGCATTTTGTGCCTGGGTGTGTGCTTGTCACACTCTGCGCCCGTGGCCGCCTATCTCTCCCCGCAGTGCGGGTGATAATGTGCCCAGCGACACGGAGTGACTAGAGTGACGGGCGCACAGCGCACAGCTGGCTGGGGCGGGCTGGGCAGGG